AAGGTCCAATTATAAACCTTAAATAGGTTTTTCCAGGTGAAAAGTACATATTTGTACCTTTACATAAGCCGATGTTTTTAAACAGAGCAATAAAATAGGTAACACTTTATTTGGATAGTACAGTTTAGATGCTTTGTAGATGCTTAATTTACTTTCAAGTTACATTTAACTAAATGTCTACTGAATTGATCATAATGTTCTTTAACTTTAAACCTGGCTCTAATCCTAACCCTAACCTTAACCTCATCTCAAAACCTAAACCCAACCCTCACCCTGGTCCTAGCCCTAACCCTGGTCCAAATCCTAACCCCTAACCCCACCACTGTGTAGAATCAAGAGTTTCAACAGATAGTTTGTTAACAACATGAACATCTGTAGATAATTTATAGGGGACTATAGTGGAAATAAAATGAGACCATAAAATAAAAAACCTGGAGATGAGACGGGGTGTGTGGAGTCAATACAACTATATAATTCTAAATATAATTATGTATAAATATCATTTCAATGGATTATAGTACAATTATGTTCCCTGACTAAACATACTGAAATGTACCCTTGAGGGAACCACCCCAGTGACGAGAGAGGAACTGCCCCAGAGACAGTTTTGTACCTTTATTTCTTACAGTGCAGCACTTCTAAAGGTTAACATGACAGAGCAATTTCACTACGGACCAGTAGGGGGTGCAGTGATCTCCCCTGCCTAATATCCCACTCCCCCACCCCCCCCACCCCAAGCTTAAATGGTTGAAGGGTCATTCGTATTCACTTTTGGAAGCTGAGGGTCCATGAGAGGGAAGGTGAATTGGCTTTGTAATGCACAGTGCTTGGACCCCTCTGTGGTCAATGAACCCTTTGATGTTGGGTTTAGCATGTCAGGATGTCACCTTCTCAGGGTTCACAGAGCAGGGAGCCCCCAAAAACCCACCGGCTGGGGGTCCTACGGGCTTGGGGTGAGCTTTTGTCACTAATGAAAATGAACATGGCTTTGGGCGGGATGGAGGGTGAGAGGAAGCGAGGAGGGGATGGAAGGAAGAGCACAGGGAAGCGCGCTTTAAAACAAATATAACAGGAAAAGGCCGGGATAAGAATTGAATATGACTAGGGTCAGCGGGGTGGGGCCGCATTATTCAAAGATCAGCAACGATAAATAGAATTACTGAATTAGTGAAGAAATACTAAAAAACATCAACAAAACTTGATTTAATTTTTTATGTAAAAGGAAGATGTGCCTTCATTCTACAGTTTTCTTGTATTCTTCTATTTAAAATTATTTAACCAGAGGTCCACGTTTGTGTTGATCTCAATTTTACATGCCCATTTTCCAACTGCTCTTTATTCCTCAGAATTAAACAGGCTGTTTTGGTGCTGTGACAGTAAGACTTAATAAACTGTTATAGACTGAATTCATGGATATTTACACTAACATCATAAAAATAATGCATTCAAACTCAGCACTTTCACCTCAGACCTGCAGGCATTTCAGTAAGGCATTTCAGAAACGTTGGCAAATTTAGATCGATAAACATTTACAAGTCTTGATAATTGGGATTGCTTAAAATTTGTCCTACAATATGATCTCTTATTTTAAAATTATCAAATTATCTTATCTTTAAGAGTTTTAAAGGAAAGGGTACCAAACACTTTCACAAAAATGTTTCCTTTTCAGTTGTGCCATGTCATTAAACATCAAATGCACAATCTTTCTCCACCTGTTTCATCTCAAAACAAATATGTTCTCTTCATTTTTGGGGTGGAGACATTTCATTGCACTGCAAAAGATGGTTTATTGGCAATTGGAATTGTCCTAAATCTAGTCGATGTATCTGATATTCCTCATTTTAAAACTGTTGTAAGTTTATCAGATTATTTAACTTATTTCTCCACATTGTTTACTTATTTTGAGGAGTATAGATAGATAGATAGATAGATAGATAGATAGATAGATAGATAGATAGATATACATCACTGTTGTCAGAACAAAACCTCATATCTCCAAAATGGTAACTTTACAGGAGATTGAAAAAATCATACTCTTCTTTTGATGTAAGTCAATGGAACCAGACTTTTTTCCCAAGTAATTTTGGGTCATTTCTGTTGGTCCATTCATCATTAAATTTACAAAAATGTAAAGGACAATGGGACATACAAGGTTTTGTTATGACAGCAGTGAAATATATATATATATATATATATATATATATATATATATATATATATATATATAGAGAGAGAGAGAGAGAGAGAGAGAGAGAGAGAGGCAGATAATTTAGCTTTTTTTAAGAAATATGCCTGAAACAAGCAAACTTATCTGCCGATATAGTGAGATAATTTAACTGAATAAAATTACTTTAAAGAAGTAAAAATATTTTAAAAAGGAAATTTTAGATATTTACACTAGATTTATGCTGATTTCTCTTGTAAAGATATAATTTTTGCAGTGTGTATTTAAAGCCCCTCAATTTCAGGATGTATGTGTATGAGCTCTGTGGAACAACACACTGTGTGAGATGGTGTTTATAGTTTAATAAGTACATTTTCTAAATTCAGAAGTGTTGCTCTGCCCTGTGATGAAGGAAGTCAAGCATGTAGTGTGCAACTTCTGCAAATGTCTACTATGTGAACGAACCCCTGCCTTATTAGACACAGCTGTAATAGAAAATAACAGTTCATTGTATAGTTCACATTCCTTTCCAACATCTTTTCCAGAGTTCTCTGATTGTATTTAGTTGAGGAACAGAAAATTCAGAGTCCTGTAGTTGTTCATGTGACTAGCTAGAGTGAGCCTGGACCTGGTGGGTCTTTCTCAGCACTGCAGTAACACTGACATGGTGGTGGTGTGTTAGTGTGTGTTGTGCTGGTGGATCAGACACAGCAGTGCTGCTGGAGTTTTTAAACACTGTGTCCACTCACTGTCCACTCTATTAGACACTCCTATCTTGTTGGTTCACCTTGTAGATGTAAAGTCAGAGACAATAGCTCATCTGCTGCTGCACAGTTTGTGTTGGTCATCCTCTAGTCCTTCATCAGTGGTCACAGGACACTGTTGGCTGGATATTTTTGGTTGGTGGACTTCTCTCAGTCCAGCAGTGACACTGAGGTGTTAAAAAACTCCAGCAGCACTGCTGTGTCTGATCCACTCAGACCAGCACAACACACACTAACACACCCCACCACATCAGTGTTACTGCAGTGCTGAGAATGATCCACCACCCAAATAGTACCTGCTCTGTGAGGGTCCATGGGGGTCCTGACCACTGAAGAACAGGGTAAAAGGGGGCTAACAAAGTATGCAGAGAAACAGATGGACTACAGTCTGTAACTGTAGAACTACAAAGTGCTCCTATGTGGAAAGAGGAGCTGATAAAATGGACAATGAGCACTGCAGTAACACTGACGTGGTGGTGGTGTGTTAGTGTGTGTTATGCTGGTCTGAGTGGATCAGACACAGCAATGCTGCTGGAATTTTTAAACACCTCAGTGTCACTGCTGGACTGAGAGTAGTCCACCAACCAAAAATATCCAGCCAACAGCGTCTTGTGGGCAGCGTCTTGTGACCACTGATGAAGGACTAGAGGATGACCAGCACAAACTGTGCAGCAGCAGATGAGCTATCGTCTCTAACTTTACATCTACAAGGTGGACTGACAAGGTAGGAGTGTCTATTAGAGTGGACAGTGAGTGGACACAGTGTTTAAAAACTCCAGCAGCACTGCTGTGTCTGATCCACTCATACCAGCACAACACACACTAACACACCACCACCACTTCACTGTTACTGACAATGAGCATAGAAACAAGGAGGTGGTCATAATGCTATGCCTGATTAGTGTATTTAGTAACTACTAAGCTCAACTAGTTTGTGAAGCAGCTTGTTTAGTTACGGTAATGCGTAAACCTGAACTGGTGCAACCGGCCACTGGAGATTTTCACATAGCTATTGCTTGCTAACAACAGGGGTATTTTTGTTGATTTCTGAACCTAGATTTAAAAAGAGACTCTGAAGGTTAACAGAGGTTCACTGAGCTTCCTTTTTTCAAAGAAGTGACAAGTTAGAACACGCTCACATTTAAACCCGCCAAAAGGGAAGTGAGCACCTCAAAAAGTGCTAAAAGTAAGAGGTGCAGTAGAAACATAAAAAACCTTTTCATTAATGCAGACCAATCTCTTCAAATGCATTTGATTGCATGATTTTTTAACAACTTAGACCAAACGGACAACCAGAGTCATTTCTGATGTATTCATTTTGAACATTAGCAATGTTTTGCTTTTTCTCAGTCACCACTTTGCTCCTGTTATCTTCTGCTAAATGCTGGCTATCTGAAAAATGCTTTGTCTATGAAGGTGAAGAGATGGATAGCTGGTATTCTGTCGATTGCCCAAGAAGAAGTCTTACAGCAAGCTGTCTGGACGTCACTGACCTGAAGCTGGACCTGGCTGTAATCCCTCTTCAGATTAACGCTCTATGTCTGAAAGCAGCACACGGACTGGAAATACATTCAAATGCACTTAGTCGATTTTTGGTCCTTGAAGAGTTGCACATAAGGGGATGTCCTGAGGTCATTCATGCCAGAGCTTTTATGGGGTTGCCAAATTTGTGGCTGATATCGCTTCAATCTGAAAAGTGCTGCAGTTCATCAATTCCGTCAAAAGCTTTTGGGCATGCCTTGAGGGAACTCTGTTTAAACCACTACAATGTGTCTGCGATAGCAATGGATGCATTTAATGGACTGAGCGGTTTAAGAGCTCTGAAAATCTCCGGCTGTGCAAGTGAGTTCACTGATATTTCATGCAGAATTGCTAAACTTTCAACATCACTCATCTCACTAAACGTCGAAGATGAAGAGATGGTCATCTTGCGAAACCAAAGTTGTGGTTTCTTGGATGACGCTTTGCTTGCAGCTTCTAAAACCCTGAAAAATGTCACTTTTAGCTTTCCAAATCTAAGATTTCTGGAAAAAAGTGCGTTAAAATACTTTCCAAAGATTTGGGCTTTAAAAATGCCCATGAATAATGATTTGAAGATTCAGCTGTTGCAGTCTGGAGTACGAGAGCTTGTGAGACTTGAGACAGAGCAAGTTGACATTGGGACAGTTTGTGAAATTGTACTTGGTCTGTCCATTGAACACCTTGATCTACGATTGAATACCCATTTTAAGTTTAAATCTGATACTGAACTTAATGGATGTCTTGGACTTAGAAAGATTCGACTTGCTGACTCTTCCAAGCTTGTGGACCTGAGTTTTGTTCATTTTTTCAAAAATCTGAAAGTCTTGGAGTTAGAACATATTCCACTGCAATCACTTGACTCTCTCTGTGAAACTTCTGATCCTGTTACATCATTACAAATGATCTATCTATATTCTGCTGACCACCTCAAGATTACCAGAAGGTGTTTTTTTTGTCTAAGAAGTCTCAGTACTCTAGTACTACCTATGAACGACATATCTGTGATTGAAGACTTTGCATTTGAAGGACTTGAAAAGTTGCAAGTATTAAATATGAAGGGAAATAAGTTATTGGTTTTGACTGAACAGACTTTTAATAGTCTTGGCCATTTGGAAAATCTAGATTTGTCTGTAAATAGGATCTCCTCTTTAAACTTTGCTGTGTTTAAGAGCCTGAGAAGGTTGAAATTCTTGAGTCTACATAGGAACAGGATTGCTCAGATCACACCAAATCACTCAATTCCACCTCTGAGCCTGGAGAGTTTGGAAGAGTTAGACTTGGCAAATAATGGCATTTCTTATATTGATGACTTTGCATTCAAGCAATTTAAAAGTTTGAAGATTTTAAACCTGCAGCACAACAACATTTCTGAAATTAAGACATTCACTTTCTCTGGGTTGGATCATTTAGAATCACTGATGCTTGACTATAATGTGTTGAAACACATTGAGGCCTCATCCTTCACCAATTTAACTTCCTTACAGAATTTCTCAGTTGGATGCCTCATGCAACCCTCTACCGAGACGTCAAAAGTCCAGATCAACTTAGGCCTTATATTTGGTACTTTCCCAAGCAACCTCACTCATCTTTACATCAGCTCCTGCAGCCGTCCCATGAACATAATCATTGGAAGCAACAGTGCTCCTAGACCTGGTCTTACTCTTCAAGTCTATGGAAAAGAGGTCAGTCTTGAAGATTGTGAGAGACCATTCTTTCAGTCTGTGGTGGGTCTTAACATTATAACACAGCAGTTCTTATGTGGCTCCCAGTTTCCAGGGAAGTATTTCAAATACTTGGAGAATATTTGGTTTCAGCCTCAAACGATGTCCAGTTTTGTAGATCTAGTTGATCTTAACACACTTTTGCACCTTAAAGGGATACATTTCCAGAAAACAGACTTCTCTGCACAGCCTCATGTCAAAACAATGTTCCACAATCTTACAGAGTTAGAATATTTAAAGTTCTATCTATGCCGCATACCGTCTTTGAACGAAGATCTTACCAGAGACTTAAAGTCTCTGAAATTGTTCATCCTCATAGAGGCTCAAGAGTTTAGTTTAATGGAAAACTTTCCAAGGCCACTTGCAAATTTGCAGTTGCTCTTTCTGTCTAATGTGGTGCTACGTTGCAGCTGTGATAATGCTTGGTTCAATGAATGGGCAGAGCTACAAAAGCAAATTCAAGTGGCCATGGTTATGACTTCTGAAAAGAAAGGTTATGCATGTAAAAATGCCAATGGCCTTCAAAGCTTCAAAAAGTTTGCCCAGGCTAACTGCTTTGTAGACATGGAATTTGTGTTGTTTGTATCCACATCTCTTGGATTACTCTTCTTCATGATAGTGGTTTTACTCCATAAGCTTTCTGGTGACTACCTTCTGGCCTTTATTTACATTGCACGTGGTTGGGTGGAGGAAGCCATGCGAGGGAACACTAAGGGACGCTATCAGTTTGATGCCTTTGTCTCATATTGTGGAAAAGATGAAAGCTGGGTGGTGGACGAGCTTCTTCCTAACCTGGACAGACGGGGCCCCCCTTTCCTGCGCCTCTGCTTGCACAGCAGGGACTTCCAGCTTGGCCTGGACATTGTAGAGAACATCACGGACAGTCTATACAAGAGCCGCCGCACCCTCTGCCTGGTCAGCCGCCACTATCTTCGCAGCAAGTGGTGCTCGTTAGAGATGAGCCTGGCCACACACCGCTTGATGGCTGAGCACAGAGATATCCTGATACTTGTGTTCCTGGAGAAGATCCCTGCTCGACAACTATCGGCCCACCACAGGCTGGCTCGCTTAGTAAAGACCAGAACCTACATAGACTGGCCTAAGGACCTCCAAAAACAGGCCATATTCTGGGATAGACTGTGGGCCAAGCTAGCACCAGATCTTGTCAGAAGAAAGTAATGGGACCTATAGGACCTGATGAGAACTATTTACATAGTAGTGGAATGTAGACAATAAAGGAATATATGTTATGTTTGAAAAAAATAAATGCACGCTTTACTAAATATAATTGGTTACTTTACTGAATATAATGATTGGATTAAAATTATAACATTGCATAATCAAACCTGCAATAATAGTTCTGTGCTTATTTCTATCTTACACTTTGTATCAGTTCGTCTATTACTGTTGTATGTGAATGGCACCTGTGGTCAAATTATACATTTTGTTGATTTTAAAGGTAAAAAAGAATTTAACCCCACTTCTGCATGGAACTAAATATCCCATATGTCAGCACATTTTAATGCACAAACATTATTTATTTGCTGAATTTAACATATTGGAAAAAATAAACATAAAAGAAATATGGCACATGCATAACTTTGGTCACCACCTCTGTCAGTGCCAAGCAAGAACTCCTTTGGCTGAAAAAGTTTCTTACTTGCAAATACTAGCCAGTATTATATTATAGAAATTCAAATTGAATCTATGATTCAATTAAAATCTATGATTCAATTCAAACTGAATCATAGATTTCCAGTATTTCAAAAATATTCGAGTCTAGGACAGTGATGGCCATTCCAAAACCTTAATATTTCATTTCTTGAAGGTGTTATGGTTGATTTTGGTGTATATTTTGGATCATTGTCTTCTTGTAATATCCAAACTCTTTTCATCTTTAGCTTCTTCTTTGAATATTTGTCAATAATTTGTAGAATCTTTTCTTTCTATCCCCAACACATTTCCTGTGCCACTAGTTGCCACACAACCTCAAAGCATAATAAATCCACCCAAATTCTTAAAAGTTTGCAAGGTGTTCTTTTCATCAAATGCTACTCCTTTTTTCTCCAAAATTACATTTGGCGATTGTAGCCAAAGAGTTACATTTTTGTTTCATTAGACCACAGAATTTGATTCCAGAAAGTCTATGGCTTGTCTAGATATTTTTTTGCTTACTTTGCATTTTGACTTTTGTGATGGGATCACAGTTAAGGTTACCTTCTGATTACCCTTCCACATAGATGATGTCTATTGAACAACTTTTGCACAGTGAGCCAATACATCACTGTTCTTGCACCAGCCAAATCTTCCTTTGCTTTGCATTCCTGATCAGTCTATGAGCAATTTTTCAGAGATTTTTCTTGAGCTTCCAGATCTTGTTTTCACTTCAACAGTTCTCCTTAACGTCCATTTCCTAATGACATTAGGGACAATGTAAATTACAAGCAGGAAGATGCCTTTTATAGTCTTCTCTTGCTTTGTAATAGTCAATTATTTTTTAGTATCAAATCCTCAATCAGTTGCTTAGATGAGCACATGGCTGTTGAGTTTAAGCGCCACTACCTGAGAGGTTTGAAAAATGTATTAAACTCTGGGACTGTCTACACTTGACTTGGACTAAGGCCTAATGAGTCAAATAAGCTCTGAGACATTGTAAAAGTAACAGTGGTGGATTAAGTAAAAGTGTGTCCAAATTGCACATGCCACATGTTATTATTATTATTGTTTTCATTATTGTAAATTCAACAAATAAACTGTAATCAAGCATTAATATTTGTAGAAAATTGTCATATGTAAATATGTTCCATCCAGATGTTGGATTAACTTCTTTTCACATAGAAAATAAACCAACGTACACAAAGAATTATGCTTCTTACATGTCTGTAAGAAATGTTCATTTTGACATGGACAGTTTAAATAAAAGATTTTCAGTTGCACTTCGGTAAGGTTACAACAAGGTGGAGCCACAAACCAAGGGTTTCATAAAGTGGCCTGTGTGTGTACATACTGTATACATAATGACTAACTGTTCATTAGCTTTGATACGAACAGAGGAACCAGCTTGTTCCAATAAAATTGATAAAAGAAAACATTTTCAGATCATGTCTCCACATGGTATCACTTCAGGATGTTTAAGAACTAAACCTTTATGTTTTTTGCTCGGTTATTAATGCAAAGACTTCTCCAGTATAGTTAAGTAAAGTGGGGCTGGTACTTTCAGAGTATAGCTCAGTGAATAAGTGAATTTTACACAGTTCAGACCCCAAATGTAGTTAATCTGCCAAGAATATTGGTGTCCAATATTAGCTTTTTTAGTTTTGTGCTGGTTTCTAGCACTGTATGTACACATTATATTTGATATCTGACAGCTCTTTTGGTCCTTGGTCATGATTCATATCATATCATATCATTTAAAAGTCAAAATTCTTCTTTTTCTGTAATTCTTCCACCAAGAATGTCATTTGTGTTGACAAAAGCCCCTTAAAGTGATAGTCTGGCTGAAAATGTTATTTACATATATTTTTTTTCAACTTACCAATCAGTAAATGAATCAGGCAAAGGATGTTTGGTGTTGAAAGTTTGCTTCTTTATTTGGAGCTCTGAGGCTAATATAGATAATGAGTAGTCGAGGTTTATACCCCACTAAGTTAGCACTGCACTAACTGTATGCCTACTGGCCTCAAACTATGTGGAGTTGGTCATTTTTAAATAGATTTGCTGATGTGGTTTGTGACACTGCATGATGTAAATAACCTACAAATATACTGTAATTTACTGTAATGAATGTACAATCATAAAAACAGGTCATCACCTTTATTTCACAGACATTTTCATTTATTTTATGGTAAAATTCTGAATGTCAGAATAACTAGAAGGTAAATAAGGGAGATTTTAATTTTAGTGTGCAGCTTCAGCCTGCAGCCATGCCGAGCTCCACTGTTATGTAACTTAGAAGGAGAAGTACTTGTGGGTCATTACCTATTCACCACGAAGAATCTGCTGGCTTCCTGTGGGAAAGTGAGAGTTGGAGCTGGTGACAAACTTTTCCCAGATTAGAAGCTGAAACTGTAGTAAGGGAGGTACAATACAGAGCAAAAGTCAGAGACCAACCTTCATTTATTTAATTTCCAGTCAATTTCCAAGCACTTGATTTTTCAGCAGAAGCCTCAACAACTACATATAACATCTAATTCTTCCATTTTCCCATTCTTTTTGGGAAACTTGCTTTAGGGAAATGTATTGCGTCGGCACATACGTCAAACCCACAGGGTCCAGTTTTGGAAACTTTTTCCCCACACATTTTACCTTGACTTTCTTTTTCCTTATGCAAATGGTTGTCCTGTGTCTGATTTCCTAAAAAATATAAGCTAAAAACTCAAGAACTTGTACTTAACTATTTTGAATAGAAATGAAATAGATTAACTCAGTACTGCATTTATTTTATGTTTAATCACACATTGTTCTTTAATTTTGTTTCTGGGTTGGTCTAGAAACAGTGAGATTCTCTCCAACAATAATTTGAAACAAGAATTAACCCCTTAAACTTAATGGAGGGCAGTGCTGAAATATTTCAATGTAATAACTACATAATTACATACTAATGTCATAGTAGTTACTGAGTGATAAGTTTTAGGATTAACAACTGAATAATTAGGCTGCAGTGTAAGGAATTAAACAGTAGGGGGTGACCAAACAGAAGCAGTCAAAGTGTAGGAAGTGGGTTTGTGTGTGCCTCTGCCCCTTTCTGAGGAGAAAACAAGTATTATTCCTCGAGGAGAGCAGCCAAATGTCTCCGAAACCACCAAATGTTTCCATCATCCTTGGGGGATTCGGTCCTTGCAAAGAGTGAAATACATACACATGAACAGCTGCTGATTTAATATTCTTAACCAAGCAAAATGAAGGAGCTAGAGCAGTGCTGAATTTCTCCCTCAGGACCTTCAAATGCTTGCGCTTCCTTTTCCTCCTGACATGTGGAGGCAAGATGCTCTTCAAAGCTTCACTTGCTCTTCTGTCTTGTTTATCTCATCTTTATCCTGTCCACCAGACGTTCTAGTAGCAATCTGCTGTGATATGACTGCAGCGCTGCTTTCAAGAGAGGTTGTCACAAAACCTTCTCTTTTTCAAAAAAAGTGGTCAAACTAACATTGCCTTTCTTACGATAAAAGAAACGATAAAAGACGATAAAAGAAAAGGCCTTGTCCAAGAAAGTGGTGTGTTTCGCATGCCACTCATTTCTCCAGTAAAGTAAACAGTTGGGTAGATGAAAAACAAAAGACAAATAAATAAATAAATAAATAAACACTCGAGTATTCATATTTTTATGATGTGACCTTGATCTCCCTGTCGCCTTCACTAAAAATACTTTAAAATACTTTTGTGCACAGTTGACAAACTAGAGCCCAAGCACAGGCATAAACATGCTAAAAACTGTATCATACTGCATGATGATTTAAGAGGCTTTTTGTATTTAAAAAGAGGATTTTTTATTAATTTTGATGAATAGAGAGTAGAAAGATTTGAGTTTAACACTGTATTTAATAATGATGTAATAAAATGTAGGAAAACTGACTGACTGAGTCTCTTTAAACATGAATATTTAAATGTGATTTTCTCCGTTTTGGCTGTTCAGAGTTGGTGTGAACTTGGTCTTTTATTGAATCATTTTAAAAAAATAAAGTTTTTAATATACATTCAAATTCTCAAACCCCTTCACCATGTGAAGTGTGTCTGCAGGCTACCACCTATGTAACTGTAATAACTTAGGTTAAATGAATGTCTGCAAGGACATACTGCGATATGAATGTGTTTGTAGCTGTATATAGTTGCTACTGGCCTTATTTATCTCAACTGTTATGTCATTTAATTTAATGAAGGTGTTCTCTGCTTAGCAAACCTCAGTTCATTTTAGCTAATGTTAGCTAACAGGCAGTGAGCCAGGGGCAGTTTCAGAGACAAGAGCAGGACTTCAAATAAGAAGGTATATCTTTATATCTTCCTGCATGAATGATTGAATACGAATACAAATACCATTGTGCAAGTATGACGAGATTCAGTTTGCACTTCACTACAAGCTACCTAAACCAAAAAAAAAGAAATAAAAATAAAGTAGAATTAAAATAAAATGGCAATATACAGCATATTTACAGAAGAAGAAATATGCAAGGTGCTATACAGCT